TACAAAGGAGACACGGTCCACATGTGGGGGTCCTCCCCTGTATACAAAGGAGACACGGTCCACATGTGGGGGTCCTCCCCTGTATACAAAGGAGACACGGTCCACATGTGGGGGTCCTCCCCTGTATACAAAGGAGACACGGTCCACATGTGGGGGGTCCTCCCCTGTATACAAAGGAGACACGGTCCACATGTGGGGGTCCTCCCCTGTATACAAAGGAGACAAGGTGCACATGTGGGGGTCCTCCTCTGTATACAAAGGAGACACGGTCCACATGTGGGGGTCCTCCCCTGTATACAAAGGAGACACGGTCCACATGTGGGGGTCCTCCCCTGTATACAAAGGAGACACGGTCCACATGTGGGGGTCCTCCCCTGTATACAAAGGAGACACGGTCCACATGTGGGGGTCCTCCTCTGTATACAAAGGAGACACGGTCCACATGTGGGGGTCCTCCCCTGTATACAAAGGAGACACGGTCCACATGTGGGGGTCCTCCCCTGTATACAAAGGAGACACGATCCACATGTGGGGGGTCCTCCTCTGTATACAAAGGAGACACGGTCCACATGTGGGGGGTCCTCCTCTGTATACAAAGGAGACACGGTCCACATGTGGGGGTCCTCCCCTGTATACAAAGGAGACACGATCCACATGTGGGGGGTCCTCCTCTGTATACTGTACATAAATGGCGTCTGGTTCTGACCGGCCCCATATACACATCCAGGATTCCTCCATATACATATAGGGGTCCTCCTCAGTATGAGGGGGTCTTTCTTCATATATGCATAAAGTGATCCTCCTCAGTATACATGTACAGGGGTCCTCCTCTAAATATTCATAGAAGGGTCCTCCTCCATACACCTATACAGGGGGTCCTCCTTCATACACCTATACAGGGGGTCCTCCTCTGAATCATCATAGAAGGGTCCTCCTCCATACACCTATACAGGGGTCCTCCTCTATTACACCCATACAGGGGTCCTCCTCTATTACACCCATACAGGGGTCCTCCTCTATTACATCCCATAATACAGGGGTCCTCCTCTATTACACCCATACAGGGGTCCTCCTCTATTACATCCATACAGGGGTCCTCCTCTAAATAATCATAGAAGGGTCCTCCTCCATACACCTATACAGGGGTCCTCCTCCTTATACACTATACAGGGGTCCTCCTCTGAATCATGAGCAATACCCATAAGGGGTCCTCACTCAGTATACTCCCTATACATGTACAGGGGTCTTCTCCCTTATACACATACAGGGGGTCCTCCATATCACACATAGAAGGGTTCCCCTGAGCAAACCCATACAGGGGTCCTCCTCAGTATATGGGTCTTCCTCCCTATACATGTACAGGGGTCCTCAGCATACACATAGAAGGGTTCTCCTCCATATACACAGAAGAAGAGTTCCCCTGAGCAAACCCATACAGGGGTCCTCGGTATACACAGAGGTTTACCTCCTCCGTATACCTGTATAGGGGTCCTCCTCAGCATACATAGAGGGGTCCTCCTCCCTATGCCTATACATGGGTCCTCTACTGTATACCCATATTGGAGTACTCCTCTGTATACACGTACAGGGGGCCCTCCTTCGTATACATAGAAGGGTTTCCCCTGAGGAAACCCATACAGGGGTCCTCCTCAGTATACACAAGGGGTCCTCCTCCATACACCTGTAAGGGGTCCTCTACTGTATACCCATACCACGGTACTCCTCCGTATACACGTACAGGGGGTCCTCCACCGTATACATAGAAGGGTTTCCCGTAAGTAAACCCATACAGGGGTCCCCCTCAGTATACACAAGGGGTCCTCCTCTATACACCTGTACAGGGGTCCTCCTCAGCATTACACAGAGGGGTCCTCCTCCCTATACCTATACATGGGTCCTCTACTGTATACCCATACCACGGTACTCCTCCGTATACACATACAGGGGCCCCTCCTTCGTATACATAGAAGGGTTTCCCCTGAGGAAACCCATACAGGTGTCCTCCTCAGTATACACAAGGGGTCCTCCTCCATACACCTGTAAAGGGGTTCTCCTCAGCATACATATAGAGGGGTCTTCCTCCATACACCTGTACAGGGGTCCTCAGCATACACATAGAAGGGTTCTCCACCATATACACAGAAGGGATCACCTGAGCAAACCCATACAGGAGTCCTCCTCAGTATACATAAGGGGTCCTCCTCCATATACCTGTACAGGGGTCCTCCTCAGCATTACACAGAGGGGTCCTCCTCCGTACACCTGTACAGGGGTCCTTAGCATACACAGAGGGATTCTCCTCCGTATACCTGTACAGGGGTCCTCAGTATACACAGAGAGGTTCTCCTCCATACACCTGTACAGGGGTCCTCAGCATACACATAGAAGGGTTCTCCTCCATATACCTGCGCTGGGGTTCTCAGCATTACACAGAGGGGTTCTCTGTATACCTGTACAGGGGTCCTCCTCAGTATACACACATAGGGGTCCTCCTCCATATACATCTATAGGGGACTATGGTACTGGAAATAGGTTGTCTGCAGGGCCCCATCGGCGCCATCTGTAGGTAAAGCTTCCATCGGCCTCCAGGGCTGTGGGCTGGGCCTTGATCTAATCTCCCATCACGCCAGGTGTCCCCCACCTGCCTCCTTATCTACGTCTTCTCAGTTATGTGCGCGGCGGTTACAGAACTGGGAGCGCACTTCCAGCCGGCGGCGTACGGATGGAGCGGACGATGCGGGGTGTGGGAACCACAACATGGAACCTCCAGCCAGGAGATGTAAAGGTCGGGACTTTATTATAGTCACACGACCACCTTTCCATAAAGGTCACACCACCCAGAACCCATTGTATAGTCGTGGGACTGCAATCCTTAAAAATAGCTCTGAAGCGGCAGGAGTGAGACTAAGGTATTATTGAGCAGTATGTTGACCCACCCCCCCCCCTCCTCCTCCTTTAGATTTTAGGAATCCCGGTCATCTGTGATAGGTCGATATTAAAAAGGTAGCACCTCCTTCTGAAGCGGGAAGATAAACCGCCTTTGGTGGTACGCCATTTCAGGCCGCCTTTGATGCCGCCCGTCACGGTCACCACACAGCTACCGGATACAATTAATGTCCGTATCCTGCCCGGGACAATGGAAGATTTACCGCCTATAAATCACCGCCGCTGATTGAGTCAGGAAAGTCAAGCAGGATGTTTTTACATAAAGGGGAACCCCGGAAAAAAAAAATCAGCAGGATAGAGTAAGACGATTTATTTTGAGCTCATCTGAAACCAGAGGAGAGTTTCTGGGAGGATGACGAATATGCAAATCAATCGATTGTCTAAACTAGATTATGCGGCACTTCACTCGGGGCAGCCAGTTAGGAAAGGCGGCCCCGTCCACCGGCGGCCAGTTGGGAAAGGCGGCCCCGTCCACCGGCGGCCAGTTGGGAAAGGCGGCCCTGTCCACCGGCGGCCAGTTGGGAAAGGCGGCCCCGTCCACCGGCGGCCAGTTGGGAAAGGCGGCCCCGTCCACCGGCGGCCAGTTGGGAAGGCGGCGCCTTCCGATGGCGGCCAGTTGGGAAGAAGGCCCCTTCCCCTTGGCGGCGGCGGCCAGTTGGGAAGAAGGCCCCTTCCCTTGGCGGCGGCCAGTTGGGAAGAAGGCCCCTTCCCTTGGCGGGGCCAGTTGGAAGAAGGCGGCCCTTCCCTTGGCGGCGGCCAGTTGGGAAGAGGCCCCTTCCCTTGGCGGCGGCCAGTTGGGAAGGCCCCTTCCCTTGGCGGCGGCCAGTTGGGAAGAAGGCCCCTTCCCTTGGCGGCGGCCAGTTGGGAAGAAGGCCCTTCCCTTGGCGGCGGCCAGTTGGGGAAGAGTTGGGGAAGGCTCCTTCCCTTGGCGGCGGCCAGTTGGGAAGAAGGCTCCTTCCCTTGGCGGCCCTTGGCGGCGGCCAGTTGGGAAGAAGGCTCCTTCCCTTGGCGGCGGCCAGTTGGGAAGAAGGCTCCTTCCCTTGGCGGCGGCCAGTTGGGAAGAAGGCTCCTTCCCTTGGCGGCGGCCAGTTGGGAAGAAGGCTCCTTCCCTTGGCGGCGGCCAGTTGGGAAGAAGGCTCCTTCCCTTGGCGGCGGCCAGTTGGGAAGAAGGCTCCTTCCCTTGGCGGCGGCCAGTTGGGAAGAAGGCTCCTTCCCTTGGCGGCGGCCAGTTGGGAAGAAGGCTCCTTCCCTTGGCGGCGGCCAGTTGGGAAGAAGGCTCCTTCCCTTGGCGGGGCCAGTTGGGAAGAAGGCTCCTTCCCTTGGCGGCGGCCAGTTGGGAAGAAGGCCCCTTCCCTTGGCGGCCAGTTGGGAAGAAGGCCCCTTCCCTTGGCGGCCAGTTGGGAAGAAGGCCCCTTCCCTTGGCGGCCAGTTGGGAAGAAGGCCCCTTCCCTTGGCGGCCAGTTGGGAAGAAGGCCCCTTCCCTTGGCAGGCCAGTTGGGAAGAAGGCCCCTTCCCTTGGCGGCCAGTTGGGAAGAAGGGCCCCTTCCCTTGGCGGCCAGTTGGGAAGAAGGCCCCTTCCCTTGGCGGCCAGTTGGGAAGAAGGCCCCTTACACTGGCGGCCAGTTGGGAAGAAGGCCCCTTACACTGGCGGCCAGTTGAGAAGAAGGCCCCTTCCATTGGCGGCCAGTGGGAAGAAGGCCCCTTCCATTGGAGGCCAGTGGGAAGAAGTCCCCTTCCCTTGGCGGCCAGTTGGGAAGAAGGCCCCTTCCCTTGGCTGCCAGTTGGAAATAAGGCCCCTTACACCAGCGGCCAGTTGAGAAGCAGGCCCCTTCCATTGGCGGCCAGTGGGAAGAAGGCCCCTTCCATTGGCGGCCAGTGGGAAGAATATCCACTTTAAAAAGATGACTAAAGAGACTGCTGGCATCAGTGAATACGTATCAGAATTAGAATCTTCTGATTGCTCAAGAAACCCCGAGGAACCTCTGGGAGGAACCCTGGTTGATAGAAGCCATTTTAGAAGGCTCCATATCTAGAGATGTTTCTTATTTTTGTGCATGGAGGAGCTCTGACCTTCACCATCTCTTCTGCAGGTGGACAAGTGGAACAGACATGACCAGAAGCTGGTGGAAGCGGTGGAGAAAGGGGATTCGAAGAAGGTCTCTTCTATCCTGTCCAAGAGGCCGATCAGTGCCACCAAGAACGGCCCAGGTGGCCAGTCAGCGTAAGTCAATTTTTATGGATCATGGCCTAGCTCAACATTGGTTGATTAGATCATTAGGATTGTCTAAGGCCACTCCCACTTCACGATCTGATTTTACAAACTCCTTCCGATGTACAGGACTAATGCTTGGGCTTACCTAAACACCACAATACATTTTATCCAATCAGTTGAGCAATTGAACCATAGACTTGTTGGTGGATCTAAAAGGAGATCGCACAATCAGACTGGAATTGCCACCCTACAGCAGATTGTACAATCAGATTGTAACACGTGTGGTGGTTCAGAATGTGCAGTTAAAAGCGTACCAAGTCTTTAAACAGGTTGATGACCATCATGACGTGCAATCCAGCCCATGCACTGAAAGATTCGGTTATACGCAGAAAAAACATAAAATATATTTGCAGGAAACCATTTTTTTTTTTCTGTGGTACATTCATGGTTATTTCCTGTTGTCTGCCGTGTGTCTCCATGGTAACCGATTTCACACATCCAAAGCATAACTGTGGCCATTTTAGCCTCGACCTCAACCACGGTATCTAAAATGATACCATCTGTTTGGTCAACGAGTGCAATGAGTCAGGGTGGGAAAAGAGCCATCAAGACAAAAACTTGCAAAAAAAACACTAAAAATGAAATCAGATGCAAAATTTAAAGGCTTGAGTTCCCAAAAACTGAATGCCGATATCAGGCTTGCAGTGAAAGTTTCTCTTTCTAGAAGCCGATAGTAAGGTTGGACTGGTGGAACAGCACTCAGGATGGGCATCTCAGGGGGGGGGAACAAAAGGATGGGCATCACAGGAGGAACCAAGCTTGGGATAGGTGCCATAGGACAGGCAAGCTCAGGACTGGTACTATGGTAGGGGAGAAGCACAGAATTAGGCCATCGGAGGGACAGAGCTAGTGCTCAGGATGGGTGCCAACAGAGGGACAGGGCTCAGGATGGGCACCTCTGGAAGTCACAGAGCTCAGGATGGGCACCGCTGGAAGCCACAGAGTTCAGGGTGAGAGCCTTCAGGAAGTCACAGAGCTCAGTGTGAGAACCTTCAGGAAGTCACAGAGCTCAGGATGGGCACCTCTGGAAGCCACAGAGCTCAGGGTGAGAACCTTCAGGAATCCACAGAGTTCAGGGTGAGAACCTTCAGGAAGTCACAGAGCTCAGGGTGAGAACCTTCAGGAAGTCACAGAGCTCAGGATGGGCACCTCTGGAAGTCATAGAGCTCAGGGTGAGAACCTTCAGGAAGCCACAGAGTTCAGGGTGAGAACCTTCAGGAAATCACAGAGCTCAGGGTGAGAACCTTCAGGAAGTCACAGAGCTCAGGATGGGCACCTCTGGAAGTCATAGAGCTCAGGGTGAGAACCAGCAGGAAGCCACAGAGTTCAGGGTGAGAACCTGAAGGAAGCAACAGCTCAGGGTGAGAACCTTCAGGAAGTCACAGAGCTCAGGGTGAGAACCTTCATGAAGTCACAGAGCTCAGGGTGAGAACCTTCAGGTAGTCACAGAGGTCAGGATGGGCACCTCTGGAATTCACAGAACTCAGGGTGAGCACCTCTGGCATAACAGAGCTCAGAATGGGAGCAACCAGATGGACAGAGGTCAATATGAGCTGCAGCTGAATGACAGAGCTCAGGATGGGAGCAATCAGATGGACAAAAGCCAAGACTGGCATCACCAGAGGGACTTACTGGAAGGACAGAGCTTAGTGTGAGCACGATCCACGAGAAAAAGCTCAAAATGGGAGCTACCAGATGGACAGAGGTCAAGACAGGGTCCACCAGAGGGACAGAGTTCAGGAGGGGAGCGACCAGATAGACAGGAGTCCTAGATGAGCATCTCCAGAGGGACAGAGCTCAGGATAGGCCTCACTGGAGGGACAAAGCTTAACCAGAGGTTTTATAGTAAACACAAATCTCTGAATTTGGGGGCCTCACAGAAGCATTTAATGTCCCTAATGTTTTATTTGCCCCCTAACCTTCTAATGTCATTCTTGCAGTTTCCATCTCGCGGCCGCCAAGGGTCTCACAGAGTGCGTGAACTTCATTCTATCCTACAAAGTAGAGATCAACGCTAAAACGGACGATGGTAAGGGTCACGGTTGGGATAAATATGGTCATTACAGCAGGAGCAGTGCAGGGCAGACGAGCCATAAGGGGCCACATTTAAGTTGGGTTTTCACATTCTACGCTCAAGAGCTCTGCAAGCACATGGCGCAACGATCATCCACGCCAACTGACGGCCCCTGTGTGCCAAATGGAAACGTTTGGGTGGTGTCTACCAGGGGCGGACTGACCCTTTGGAAACTCAGGCACTGCCCGAGGGCCCGGGGTCAGTAGGGGGCCCCATGAGATGCCCCTGGTACCTTTTTCATAGGCTTTTTTGAGTTTGGGCAAGAACACAGGGGACCCATGATCCCTTATTGCCCGGGGGCCCCATGAGTTGTCAGTCCGCCCCTGATGTCTACCACGTGAGGATTCAATTAGGAGGTGGAATTTCTAGAATTTTGCAGAACTCCACAGCTGTACATGCAGAAATGCGATTGTTCAAAAGATTGACCCCCCTTCCCCGTGTGATGTTCTATGGTTTGTCCCAAAGTCTGTAACTGCCCCATTTCTGGACAGCTTGGCCCGCATGGAAATGCCATATTGGGTAAAGGCGTACAATGAAAATCCTATACTGAACACAAACAAACATTTCACGCATTGACTGAACCAATTTTGCTAGTGTCCCTATAAAGTTTTTGTTTTTTGTTTTTTGTTTTTTTTAAATAATTTTTTTTTTTTTTTTTTTTAATTAAATGTTATTGTCTATAATAAAGGCAACTTCATCTCTATGATACCATTTCCTGCAGGTTGCACCGCACTACACCTGGCCCCAACAATTGTCACCCGGAATGTGTGAAGCTGCTCTTGCACGTAAGTTGTCACCAAGGGGGACGCAGGGTGGAGTCATGGAGGATCACTTTTGGCCTCTTTCTGCTTCCTCCGTTCCGTAGCCGCTGAGGGCCCCATCATAGCAATAGAACAGAAGTTCGATCACCAGCTCCTCCAAAAGTAACTCCACCATCAGCCAGTGTGATACCATATCCTGCAGGTTGCACCGCACTTCACCCGACCCCACCAGACGCCAACCCCAAGGCCAGGTTTACCGCCGGACATGCGCCACAAGTAGTTCATGTACCTTATAAAAGCTTCGCGCGCTTAGTTGCCGTGTTTGAGGTGTCATTAAACGCGTAAAAGGTGTGAACGCAGCCCCCTTTGAGGAGATGACGGGCCCATTATTTTACAATCCCGCCTCGAATAAAAAATATATTTTAAAAATACTCTTCCCAAATATATTGACATATTTGAAATACTACGATTTTGGGCGTATTCAATATATTTCAAATACACGCACACACATACACACAATGTGGAAATGCGTGTTTATTACCTTAGATTGTACGCCCCTCGGGGGCGGGGGACTGATGCGAATGTACAATATATATGTAAAGCGCGGCGTAAATTGACGGCGCTATATAAGTACCTGAAATAAATAAATTACAAAACATATGAAAAGTATTTTTAAAAATACATTTCAAATATATTGTAGGTCTTTAAAAATACATTTCATCTATACTTTTTGGAATACATTTACAAATATATGTAAAAATATATGTTAAAATGAATTTTTTTTTTATATGTAAAAAAAAAAAAAATATATATATATATATAAAATTTTTTTTTATAGTATAATATAATATATATAAATTTTTTTTTTTATAGTATAATATAATATATATAAATTTTTTTTTTATAGTATAATATAATATATAAATTTTTTTTTTATAGTATAATATAATATATATAAATTTTTTTTTTTATAGTATAATATAATATATATAAATTTTTTTTTATAGTATAATATAATATATATAAATTTTTTTTTTTATAGTATAATATAATATATATACATTTTTTTTTTTTATAGTATAATATATATAATTTTTTTTTTTTTTTCTAAAAAAATATTTCCTATATTTTGTAATATATACAAAGCGCATTTCAACATGTAGTGTGTATATACACACACACAATGCATGTTGAAATGCGCTTTTTCTATGTTACAAAATATATGAAAAAGGTTTTTAAAATATATATTTTTTTTAACTATGTTGTTCAGATTTTTTTTTTTTTTTTTTTTTTTTTTTTTACATATAAAAAATTCATTTTAACATATGTTTTTCCATATATTTGTAAATGCATTCAAAAAATGTAGATTCGATGTATTTTTTAAAATATTTTTCATATGTTTTGTAATAAACATGCATATCAGATAGATATATATATATATATACACATACATACATACACACACATATATCGATCTCATCAGGGCTGGGACAGGGGGCGGGCAGGAGGGACGGAGGTTGTCCTGGGTACAGTGGTATAATGTGAGGGGGGGGGGAGGGGATTTGTGCTGGGGGGGGGGAGAGAGTGTTGTGCTAGAAGAGGTGATATGGTGGGATGGGGGGGGGGGGGGGGGGAGAGATTTGCACTTGGAAGAGATGAAGAATTAGTGCTTGGGGGATGGGGGGGGGGGGGGGTTTGGAGTGGGGAGAGGATTTGTACTTGGAGAGGAAATTTGAGGGGTAGAGGATTTGTGAAGGGGGCATAGAAGGGCAATACTTTTTTTTTTCTGGGGGGGGGGCAGGAGGTTGTGCTGGGAGGGGGGATTTCAGTGGGGGGGGCCAAGCATGCAAATTAGTGCTCGATCTTTTTGTGGGTGGGGGAGGGGATTTTAGCTGACACATAATGCTCATACATCTTGGGGGGGGGGGGGGCTTTAATTTGGTATGTTCGCCCCGGGCTCTAGATGACTGGTGCTGGGAGCGTAATAGGCCCCACAAGATACAGCAATAATCATCAGAAAAGGGCCCCAGATTCCGCCGCTCTAATATCTTATTTGCCTTTGCAGAACGGCGCTCACGAGGACTCCATAGACTTCCACAGTCGGACGCCATTACACTGCGCCGGTGAGTGTCGCATCATTCCGCCATAAGAAAAAAAAAAGTTTTCGGACATTCAGGAATACATCTTCCTCCTGCTGGGTTCAGGAAACGACTAGCTATTACACACAATGCAGTTCGATGAGCCGGAAAATCCTCCAATCAGAGGGAGCGATGAAACCTGCAGTCAACGTAGCTAGCAGGGAACAATGCTAAAAAGGATAATGCCGCTTTGGCCACTGACACACCTCCTTAGACCCAGTCTGTCTGGTCAGTAGGGTCACTTGCTGACCCGGCACCAGCCACAGGCAGCTTCACTCTTCAGTCAGACAAAGAAGTTGAATCCCACGCAAGTTGATTTCAGCTAAGTGCTGAAGGAGGTTTTCCAGGGGTTGAAGGAAAGCATACTACTAAAATACACACAAAAAAAAAAAAAGCAGGGGGGGGGGGGGGGCTGGCAGAACAAACTTCCTGTGCTCTCCCCCCTCCGGACTGTTACCAGATTTCTGTTCAATAGGTGCAAAAATAAATACCTGTTGGTCCTGCCAGAAATCTGGTGAACTGATGTCGGTTATGTTGCTTCATATCATCTCTGAGGACTACTAGACGTGTGCCGGTTCGGTTCGTTCTGAAAGAGAAATTCAGCAAAATTTTTTTTTTTTTTATATTCGAAAAATTCGGATGTATCCAAATTTCCGAATGGCAATAGTAATGAATTTCGACGAACCCGATATAACGAAACGGACATTTTGGTGGGAAAATCCAATCAAATTTGAAATAAAAATATGGCTGATTTTCTTCAAAGACTGTGTATTAGAAGACAGCCGTCTTCTGAAAATTGAATTTTGAAAAGAATAGAATAAAACAGAATAGAAAAAAAAAAAAGTAGAATAGATTAGAATAGAATATAGCCTCCTTTCAAAATTTTAACTTAAAAAAAAAAAAAAAAAGAACAGAATAAATAGAAGAAGAGAGTAAAACAGAATAGAAAAAGTTAGAATAGAATAAAAGAAAAAAAAATAGAATAGGTTAGAATAGAATAAAATAGAAAAAATAGAATAGGTTAGAATAGAATAAATCAGAAAAAATAGCCGCCTTCCGAAATTTGAATTTCGAAAATAGAATAAGACAGAATAGAACAGAAAATAGCAGGAATAGAAATTAAAAAAAAAGAGAAAAAGAAAAAAAAAATTAGAAAAGAACATAGCTGTCCTCTAAAATTGAAATTTTGAAATCAGTATAGAATAGAAAATAGAATAAAATAGAATAGAAAATAAGGGAACAGAATAGAAACAGAATAGAAAAAATAGAATAGGTTAGAATAGAATAAAAATGGAAAAAATAGCCGCCTTCCAAAAATAGAAGACAGAATAGAACTGAAAATAAAAAGGAATAGAAAAAAAAAAAAATAGAGAAAAGAAAAAAAAAAAAAAAAAATTAGAAAAGAACATAGCTGTCCTCTAAAATTTGAATTTTGAAATCAGTATAGAATAGAAAATAGAATAAAAATAGAATAGAAAATAAGGGAAACAGAATAGAAAAAAAAAAGAATAGGTTAGAATAGAATAAATAGAAAAAAATAGCCGCCTTCCAAAATTTGAATTTCGAAAATAGAATAAGACAGAATAGAACAGAAAATAAAAGGAATAGAAAAAAAAAAAAAAAAATAAAAAAAAAAATTATAAAAGAACATAGCTGTCCTCTAAAATTAAAATTTTGAAATCAGTATAGAATAGAAAATAAGGAAACAGAATAGAATAGAAAAAATAGAATAGGTTAGAATAGAATAAAATATAAAAAATAGCCGCCTTCCGAAAATAGAAGACAGAATAGAACTGAAAATAAAAAGGAATAGAAAAAAAAAAAAAAAAAAAAAAAAAAAAAAAAAATTAGAAAAGAACATAGCTGTCCTCTAAAATTAAAATTTTGAAATCAGTATAGAATAAAAAATAGAATAAAATAGAATAGAAAATAAGGGAATAGAATAGAAAAAAAGAAAATAAAAGAGCTGCCTTCCCAAATTTGAATTTCGAAAAGAATAGAATAAAACCGAAAAAAGGAATAGTATAGAAAAGAATTTAGTGGTCTTTTGAAATTCAAATTTTGAAAAGGAGTACAACAGAATAAAATACAAAAGAAAATAAGCGAATAGAAAAAAATAGAATTGATTAGAACAGATTACAGCCGACTTCTGATATTTGAATTTTGAAAAGAACAGATTAGAATAGAAAACACAACAAAATAGAACCGTCTTCCAAAATCTGAATAGAATAAATCCGAATGCCGATTCGACACTTTTCAAATTCGGTCGTATTGAATTCAAAATCGAAAACAAATAAGTGAAACGAAACAAATTCCAAAAATTATCAAAGAAATAAAAAAAAATGACCAAAACAAAAATAGAAACAAATTTTTTCCCATTATGGACATGTCTAAGAATTACAGAACACCTCCCCTCTATGATTTGAAGGGGGAGGGGTTCTGCAGTCCTGTGCAGAGGTGACAACGCTGCTCCTCTCTCGGTACCACACACTGAGCGTTGTCACCCGGGGACAGGAAACCCGTTATTGGCAGGATCAGCAGGCGCATACAAAAGGAGGAATGTACAATGTAAGGTGTTGTGTCCTCATGTCCGTCTCTCGTCTCCCTCAGCCACCTCCGGATGTGTCTCCAGCGTTCTGCTCCTGTGTGACGCAGAGGACACCGTCCTGGATGCCGCCGATGACGTGAGTACACCCCGGATTTCAGATGAGACCGGTCCTGAATGGATCACAAGGTTTCCTCCTCTAGATTATTAAATGTGACCTCCATCCTCTGGGTGTCCCGGCTCCTCCCCTCCAGTCTCGCACGGGTGTCCCGGCTCCTCCCCTCCAGTCTCGCACGGGTGTCCCGGCTCCTCCCCTCCACTCTCGCACGGGTGCCCCGGCTCCTCCCCTCCACTCTCGACACGGGGTGCCCCGGCTCCTCCCCTCCACTCTCGCACAGGTGCCCCGGCTCCTCCCCTCCACTCTCGCACAGGTGCCCCGGCTCCTCCACTCTCGCACAGGTGCCCCGGCTCCTCCACTCTCGCACAGGTGCCCCGGCTCCTCCACTCTCGCACAGGTGCCCCGGCTCCTCCCCTCCACTCGCACAGGTGCCCCGGCTCCTCCCCTCCACTCGCACAGGTGCCCCGGCTCCTCCCCTCCACTCGCACAGGTGCCCCGGCTCCTCCCCTCTCGCACAGGTGCCCCGGCTCCTCCCCTCCACTCGCACAGGTGCCCCGGCTCCTCCCTCCACTCGCACAGGTGCCCCGGCTCCTCCCCTCCACTCGCACAGGTGCCCCGGCTCCTCCCCTCCACTCGCACAGGTGCCCCGGCTCCTCCCCTCCACTCGCACAGGTGCCCCGGCTCCTCCCCTCCACTCGCACAGGTGCCCCGGCTCCTCCCCTCCACTCGCACAGGTGCCCCGGCTCCTCCCCTCCACTCTCACACAGGTGCCCCAGCTCCTCCCCTCCACTCTCACACAGGTGCCCCGACTCCTCCCCTCCAGTCCTGGCTGGAGGACATCCAGCATCATCTAGCGCTTTCCTACCATGCTTGACAGTCCTGGCCCCGCCCCTTTCATTGGATTTCAGTTCTTTCAAACATGGAGGATCAGCATGACTTGTGGGTGTTGCCAAGGTCTGCCTTATATACAGATATTTGCATAACTCCTCCACTGCTTGTATCAGGGGCTGAGGGCTGTCAAGAGGAGTGATGTGATGTTTTCAGAAGATATGTCTTAGCCCCTCCCACCAGCCATAATCTGCTTGCCATACATAGAGGAGCACAGAGACCCAGGTAAAAAAATGGAAAAGTTTTATTGAAAATGTTGCTGAGGAAGGAGGGGGGGGACCCAGGGAAGGCCGAATATGACTGAACTCCTCCGGCTACCATGGCTGGATTGTAGGGTACCCGGGGTCATGTCGCCCCCGGAAATTCAGATCCGCTTTTCTCGTCAGTACCGATCCGGCTCCGCCATGTGCGCTCCGTCCTCTCCAGATTGTTTCTGCAACACACACAGGAAATCCCACCAGATTCCTCATCAACGAACTCTCCACCGATGTCACCAATATCCCACGCCCGGAGGGGCCAGCGGGGGCGCGGCGCTCAAAAGGCAAAGAAACTGGGAGACGGCTCCAATCGCAGCCCCCAGAAAGTGGGAGGAGTTTATTCACACCGAGCCCAACGCAGAATGGGGCGACATGTCACTGTGTCAAGGAGCAACATGTATGGAATGATCCCGCCTCTTAAAGAGAACCAGTCTGACATGAACTTTCATTGTGCAGACAAAAGAAAAAAAAGAAATCAAAATAAAACACACACACGGCAATATAATATATATAAATAAATGTATAGATTTTTAAATATATGCATATTAAAAAAAAATATATATATATATTTATTATATTTATGAATTTTAATGCATATATTTAAAATCTATACATCATTAATAATGATCAATATCAAGTATCCTTTGTATGTGTATATTAATTTAAAAAAAATATATAATTTTCTTTGCGCGCATATATACACACACAATTTTTTTTTTCTTTTTTTTTTTTTTACTAATGATGATGCATAGATTTTAAATATACCGTATTTTTCGCTCCATAAGACGCACCTAGGTTTTAGAGGTGAAAAACAAGAAAAAAAAATATTCTGAACCAATGGACTGCAGACACAGTACAGGAGATGACCAGAGACTGCGGACATAGTACAGGAGATGACCAGAGACTGCGGACACAGTACAGGAGATGACCAGAGACTGCGGACACAGTACAGGAGATGACCAGAGACTGCGGACACAGTACAGGAGATGACCAGAGACTGCGGACACAGTACAGGAGATGACCAGAGACTGCGGACACAGTACAGGAGATGACCAGAGACTGCAGACACTGTACAGGAGATGACCAGAGACTGCAGACACAGTGCAGGAGATGACCAGAGACTGCGGACAGTACAGGAGATGACCAGAGACTGCGGACACAGTACAGGAGATGACCAGAGACTGCAGAAACAGTGCAGGAGATGACCAGAGACTGCAGAAACAGTGCAGGAGATGACCAGAGAATGCGGACACAGTACAGGAGATGACCAGAGACTGCGGACATAGTGCAGAGATGACCAGAGACTGCGGACACAGTACAGGGGATGACCAGAGACTGCGGACACAGTGCAGGAGATGACCAGAGACTGCGGACACAGTACAGGGAATGACCAGAGACTGCGGGGACAGTGCAGGGAATGACCAGAGACTGCGGACAGTGCAGGGAATGACCAGAGACTGCGGACAGTGCAGGGAATGACCAGAGACTGCGGACACAGTACAGGGGATGACCAGAGACTGCGGACACAGTACAGGGGATGACCAGAGACTGCGGACACAGTACAGGGAATGACCAGAGACTGCGGACACAGTACAGGGAATGACCAGAGACTGCGGACAGTGCATTGAATGACCAGAGACTGCGGACACAGTGCATTGAATGACCAGAGACTGCGGACAGTGCAGGGAATGACCAGAGACTGCAGACAGTACAGGGAATGTCCAGAGACTGCAGACAGTGCAGGGGATGACCAGAGACTGCTGACCTTTGGGAAGGGAGGGGGAGCGGTTACCTGAATTTGACAGGTACCCGCTCCCACTTCCGCGGAGTTGCCTTTCCTCTTCTTCCCGGGCCGGCTTCTGTGACAGCCGGGTGCCCACTGCGCAGGTGCGAGAAGCACTTCGCTTTGTGAATGGCCCGGCGCCTTCTGGGACCCTTCATGTGTCCCAGAAGACACCGGATCATTCACAAAGCGCAGCACATGCGCAGTGGGCACCCGGCTGTCACAGAAGCCAGCGCGGGAAGACTGTGCAGCGCTGGAGCGAGGAACAGGTATGGCCCTGCAGGAGACAACAGCTGAGCGGCCGGCCCGGTATTCTGACATGGTGGTGCAAAAATACCGGACCGGTCGCTTTATATTCGCTCCATAAGACGCACTGACATTTTCCCCCCTTTTTGGGGGGAAAAAAGTGCGTCTTATGGTGCGAAAAATACGGTATGTATATATGCACGTAAAAAAAATTATATTTTTTTAATTTAAAATTAATATACACATACAAACCGTAGGATATTTGATATAATTATTAATGATGTATAGATTTTAAATATATGTATTAAAAAAAATAAATAAAATAATATATATATTTTTTTTACTAATGATGCATAGATTTTAAATATATGCATTAATATTATATATATATACAGTTGCAAGAAAAAGTATGTGAACCCCTTGGGATTACGTGGCGTTTTGCATGAATTGGGCATAAAATGTGCTCTGAACGTCATCTAAGTCACAACAATAGAAGAACACAGTCTGCTGAACATAATACTACACAAACATTAGATGTTGCCATGGTTTAATTGCACATAACATGTAAACATTCACAGTGCAGGGAGGAAAAAGTATGTGAGGCCCTAGTTTAATGACTTCTCCCAGAGCTGATTGGAGCCAGGAGTGAGCCAACCTTGACTCCAATCATGTGATGATATTGGATGTGTTGCTGACACCTGTTTTGGGTTTACTGGTTTCAAGAAGCACTGTCTGATGTGAACCATGCCTCGCAGAAAAGAGCTCTCAGAACACCTACGATCAAGAATTGTTGACTTGCATGAAGCTGGAAAGGGTTACAAAAAGTATCTCCTTGAGCCTTGATGTTCATGTGTCCACGGTAAGACAGACTGTCTACAAATGGAGAAAGTTTAGCACTGTTGCTAACTCTCCCTAGGCGTGGTCGTCCGGTAAAAATGACTGCAAGAGCACAGCGCAGAATGCTGCATGAGGTAAAGAAGAATCCCAGAGTGTCAGCTAAAGACCTACAGAAATCTCTGGCACATGCTAACATTTTTGTTGACACATCTACAATAAGGAAAACATTGAACAAGAATGGAGTACATGGGAGGACACCACGGAGGAAGCCATTGCTGTCCAAAAAGAAGATTGCAGCACGTTTGAAGTTTGCAAAAGAGCACCTGGATGTTCCACAGCACTACTGGCAGAATATACTTGTGGACAGATGAAACCAAGATTGAGTTGTTTGGGAAGAACACACAACACTATGTGTGGAGACAAGAAAAAAAAGGCCCAGCACACCAACATCAAAACCTCATCCCCACTGTGAAACATGGCGGAGGGAGCATCATGGTTTGGGGCTGCTTTGCTGCCTCAGGGCCTGGACGGATTGTTGTCATTGATGGAAATGAATTCCAGAGTTTATCAAGACATTTTGCAGGAAAACGTACGACCATCTGTCCGCCAACTGAAGCTCCGCAGAGGATGGGTGATGCATACAGGACAATGACCCAAAGCATACAAGTAATTCAACAAAACAATGGCTGCAACAGCACAGAATACGCCTTCTGGAGTGGCCCAGTCAGAGTCCTGACCTCAACCCCATTGAGAAATGCTGTGGCATGACCTTAAGAGAGCGATTCACAGCAGACATCCCAAGAATATTGCTACACTGCAAAACAGTTTTGTGAAGAGAGTGGTCCAAAATTACTCCAGATCATTGTGGCAGCCTGGTCTGATCTGCAACTACAGGAAACTTTTTGGTTGAAGTTATTGCTGCCAAAGGAGGGTCAACCAGTTATAAATCCAAAGGTTCACATACTTTTTCCTCCCTGCACTGTGAATGTTTTACATGTTATGTGCAATTAAAACCATGGCAACATCTAATGTTTGTGTAGTATCATGTTCAGCAGACTGTGTTCTTCTATTGTTGTGACTTAGATGACGTTCAGAGCACATTTTTATGTCCAATTCATGCAAAACTCCACGTAATCCCAAGGGGTTCACATACTTTTTCTTGCAACTGTATATATATAATATATTTATTTTTTTAATGCATATATTTAAAATCTATACACACACACATATATATTATATATTTATACATCATTAATAATAATCGATCTCAAACAACCTACGGTTTTGTGTGTGTGTATAATAATTTTTTTTTCTTTTATTGTACACACAAACCGTAGGTTGAGATTGCTAATTATTAATGATGTATAGATATATTTTAAATAGGTGTATTAAAAAAAAAAAACAAAAAAAAAAAAACACACATACACAATTATACTGCGTATATTATCAGTCTTATAAAATTATAAAAGAATAATAAAATATACATTTTAGATTTTGATGCGCAAAGCTACCAAAAAAACCAACATTAAAAAAAATCCTATTTTTAAATTTAAATTTTTTTAAATTTAAAAACAGTGCTTGTTTCACATCTGACTGCTCGGGCGCTTGTTATGGAAAGAAAACAAAAAAAAAAAAAAAAAAAAAAAAAAAAAAAAAAAGGAAGAAGGGGAAGAGCTTGGGAGCTTCTTATCAGGTAGAAATTTTTAATTTTTTGAGCCCATAGACTTCAAAATGGTGCGCCTGAAAAAGGAGGTTCAATAATAGAAAGCTATGGAGCCAAAAACCATGCGATCCTGCCCTAAAAAAAAACTCCTGTATGGCCAATCAATCATTTTCACCCCTGCCCCCCTCCACCAAAATAAAAAAAAAACACAACACAAAAATCACATGAAAAATAGGTCATAAAAAGAGAGAGAAAAAAAAAAAACAAAAGGATACAAATCACCACACAAAAATCATTTAAAAAAAATAGAGAAAAAAAAAATACATCACACAAAAAAAAAATCATTAAAAGAAAAAAAAAAATTATATCTATAAAAAATCACACACACAAAAAAAAACCCCATCATGATTAAAAAACAAAAAAAAAACACAACAAAAATAAAAAACATAATTTATATGTATATATTTAAAAAAAAAAAATAATTTTCAAATTTGCATCTTTCAGAAAAATAAACCCCTATTGATCCTGCCATAGAGGTCGCGCGCGTGCGCGTGTGTGTACATATATATATACACACATACATACATAAATACACATACATACATACATACATACACACAACAGGGACCTCTATGGCAGGCTCAATAGGGGTTTATTTTTCTGAAAGATGAAAATTATTTAAAAAAAAAAAAAAAAAAAAACAACAAATAAATAAATATATATATATGTTTTTTTTTTAATTGATTTTTTTTTTTTTTTTGAAAATAATTTTCAAATTTGCATCTTTCAGAAAATAATAAACCCCTAGTGATCCTGCCATAGAGGTCCTTGTTCAGGCACTTCCTGTTATAGGGTGACAACGCTCCTGACTACAAGTGGCCATTTCAGCACACATTACACAGACACGGTCCGCTGTTGTCACCATCTGGAAACCCGCCCCTGAGAAATGCCAGGCGGCCATTGCTGGAATGCATGTGGACAGGAAGTGGCGGCGGGAGATCCTCCACGCTGCGATGAACCGGAAGATGAGAGGATTTGATATAAATAGGCGGTGTAGTAACACGGACGGCGCTCAAAGCCAACAATTTATCACACAATCGGTTTCCTATCTACATTCTAGTTATATAAAAATGGTGTAAATATTAAAAAAAAAAAAAAAAAAAAAAAAACAATAAAGTATCTACACAAAAATATACAAAAAGGTTACAAAGTTGCGCCCGGGATTTGCAAATGTAGCTTTTTTTTCTGATTTGTTCACAGGATGGACGAACGCCACTTATGATCGCTGCCCAACGCAACCATCCCACACCGTCTGCTCGCTGCTGCTCGACCGCGGCGCTCAGGTGGACCTGTGTGACCGCGAGAAGAAGTGAGTGACATGTTTGTTCCTCCATACCAAATAATGGCCAGTCTTGGCCCCGCCCCCCCCCCCATTAATCTGACGTGACCCAAGGTGACCCTCGTTCTGCTTTTTGTGGGACAGGACGGCGCTGATTCTGGCCTGCGAGAGAGGCAATATCCAGGCGGCGGAGACCCTCATCACCAAGGGGGCGGACCCCCAGCTGAAGGATAACAAATTCTGCGACCCGCTCGCTTACGCCAGCCAGGCGCGGGATGAAGCGCTCAAGAAACTGATCCAGTCCGCCCTGGACAGGAGGAAAAATGGTGAGCACCAGATACCCACCCACACTCTTCCCAATTTATCATCTGAGATTGGGTGCAGAATCGGGGGGGACACCCAACTTTTGAGTCTCGGTACCCCAAACCCATATCATGATCATGGAGGAGGGGGTTTTATGGTGGATAAAATTCAAGGGTATCCAATGAGCACCCAACTTCACCCCCAACCATGGCTGACAATTCGAGGGGGTTGGGACGGGCGTCCATGAAATGATACCTACATGAAGGAAATGTTCCTGATTGATTCTTTTCTCTTGCAGCACAACGGTCGTGGCATCACGATGACCAACCTGCACCCAAGGTATGTACAAAGGTACAAGGAACCAATCAGGAGGCGCCATCGCTGAGGCACAAAGAGGGTCAGGGGGGGGGGGTGTCCTGATCTTTCAGCTCTGACCTCCCCGATTTCATGTTTTGGGTCAGAATGTTCAGTAGATCTAAACCCCAAAACGCATTTTATTTTGGATATTTTTTGTCTGGTTTTTTGCCGTCTGTGTCCCCACCGGGGCGATTTATCTTCATTTCCCCTCCTACAGATACAACAGGAAGTGGAAAATCCCCTTTTAGACAGTTTAGACTGAAAGAATTGCCCCCATTGGTAGGCTTTCCCCTTACTTTCTGGTCTGGTTGTTGTGGCCTGGGCTCTCGTGTCCAATCAGAAAGGGACAGTCCACAGACACGGGTGTAGAGGAGCACTGGAGACAGACGGGGGCACTGAGGGTATGGGGGCGCAAAGGAAACCCTTGGAGGCACAAGGATGCATGGGAGACGCTGGAAGACACGGGTACACTGGAGACACTTGAAAGCACAGAAACACACGGGAGACACAGGGGACACGGGGGGTGCACAGGGGTGCACTGGAGACACTTGAAAGCACAGGTATGCACAGAAACACACTGGAGACACAGGGGTGCACAGGGGCACCCTGGAGACGGGGGCACAGGGGACACATGGGAAACAAATGGGGACACTGGAGACATGGTGGTGTACAGCAAACATTTGGAGGCACATGGGGTGTACAGGAGACAGGGGTGCACAGTGAGCGCTTACAGGCATGGGGACACATTGGAGACACAGGGGCACATCTGGAGGCACAAGGGCACACTTGGAAGCACAGGGATGCACAAAACACACTGGAGGCACAGCACTAGAGGGGTGCACTAGAGGCACAGGGGTGCACTAGAGGCACAGGGGTGCACAAAACGCACTGGAGGGGTGCACTAGAGGCACAGGGGCGCACAAAACGCACTTGAGGCACAGGGGCGCACTTGAGGCACAGGGGCGCACTGGAGGCACAGGGGCGCACTGGAGGCACAGGGGCGCACTTGAGGCACAGGGGCGCACTTGAGGCACAGGGGCGCACTTGAGGCACAGGGGCACACTTGAGGCACACTTGAGGCACAGGGGCACACTTGAGGCACAGGGGCACACTTGAGGCACAGGGACTTGCACAAACACACACAGGAGGCACAGGGATGCACAAAAGACACTGGAGACACAGGGGCGCACTGGAGGCACAGGGGTGCACAAAACACACTGGAGGCACAGGGGCGCACTGGAGGCACATTTGGAAGCACAGGGGCGCACTGGAGGCACAGGGGCGCACTGGAGGCACATTTGGAAGCACAGGGGCGCACTGGAGGCACAGGGGCGCACTGGAGGCACATTTGGAAGCACAGGGGCGCACTGGAGGCACAGGGGCGCACTGGAGGCACATTTGGAAGCACAGGGGCGCACTGGAGGCACAGGGGCGCACTGGAGGCACATTTGGAAGCACAGGGGCGCACTGGAGGCACAGGGGCGCACTGGAGGCACATTTGGAAGCACAGGGGCGCACTGGAGGCACAGGGGCGCACTGGAGGCACATTTGGAAGCACAGGGGCGCACTGGAAGCACACAATGCACTAGAGGCATAGGGGCGCACTGGAGGCACATTTGGAAGCACAGGGGCGCACTGGAGGCACAGGGGCGCACTGGAGGCACATTTGGAAGCACAGGGGCGCACTGGAAGCACACAATGCACTAGAGGCATAGGGGCGCACTGGAGGCACATTTGGAAGCACGGGGCGCAATGGAGGCACACAACGCACCAGAGACACAGGGAACGCCCCAGAGACACAGGGAACGCCCACCAGAGACACAGGGAACGCCCCAGAGACACAGGGAACGCCCCAGAGACACAGGGAACGCACCAGAGACACAGGGAACGCACCAGAGACACAGGGAACGCACCAGAGACATGGTGGCACACAGCAAACACTTGGAGGCACAGGGATGCACAGAAACACAATGAAGACACAGGGGTGCATTAGAGTCACAGGGGTACATTAGAGTCACAGGGGTGCACAGGGAGCACTTAAGAGTCACAGAGACACATGGGGACACACTGAAGACACGGGTGCACAGGAGACACTGGGGCAAGCCAAAGTATAGCAACACTGGCATGAAGGGCACATGTCTCTTTCCCATTTAAAGCCAACACCAATCAGGAGAGCTGTCTCTTGATTGGCTGCAGCGCCAATTAAGAGAGCCGTTTCCCGGCTTGCTGCGGTGCCGACGCCCTGGGTGAAGTTCCGGTGGCCACACATCAGAGAGGAGGCCTGGCACTGGATCCCAGGAGAGGCGAGTGTTACACCTGTAGAATTTTGGATTTCCCATCACTTTCTTGGTGACAATGGTCACCAGAACGAATAGGGAGGGTGACCACCTCGAGCAGAGATAAGAACTTGACAGGGGCTCCAACCCTTCCGCAGAGAACAGTTTTAGCATACACTTTCATTTGTTGGCTCTTTGGACTAATCTATATCCAAGCCCGAGAGTTCAGCCAACTGCCACAGATTAAAGGACCGATAAAATGCCGAGTACTCCACCAACAATGGACCATTTTACACATTTTCTTGACCAACAGGTAAAATAAAGCTAAATGTATGATATTTACAAATATATATTTTCAGGCTGCCTCACCGAACTCAAGCCAAGAGCAAGAACTGGTCACCATATGGAAGAAAAGATTTCACGAAGAGCAAAAGCGAGGAGTTTGGCTACAGGGAGAACTGATGATGAAGACCCAAGAAATCGAGAGGATAACCGAGGAGCAAAGGGTAGAAAACAACAGAATTCGAGAACTTACAGAGAGTTTGGAGGGTCTTTTGGACAGGCAACCCGAGAACCTTGGAGCTATGGCCGGAGTTCCCACCTCAGACACCTGTGGCCTGTTGTCTCGAGTTCTGGAACAAGTTAGGACTTTAAAAGATCAGGTAAACGAGAGGAAGTTTCTAGACCAGAGGATCAAGATCCTCACTTCCAAGGCTGCAGAGGCTGAAAAGATGAAATACCAGCACCAAGAAGAAACGAGGCTTCTTCAAAGCGAAGCTGCTGCAGCAAAGGAGAAGGAAGAGGGTGCGAGGAAGAAAGTGATGGAGCTGGAAGGCCACTTGGAGAACATGAGGGAGGTGTTGTCACAATTTGAGAAGCGCAAGCGAATACAAAGTACGGTAGTAGAAGATCTGCAGGAACAGATCTCGGAGGTGACCAAAGAGAAAGAAGAACTTCTGGTGCTGTTACATAAATTGGAAAGGCAAGAGGAAAATGTTGGCAGCGGTCAGACGAAGAGATCTGCCAATGGCCAGGCATTGACTGAAATGGCCGCCTTGAGCGAGTTCCTTATGAAGCTAAAAAGCAACTGTGTTAACGTTGAGGTAAGGCAAAACAATGAAGTATCAAAGAGGTGCTCGGGTTATGTGCCAAAGGGCATTCTGGAAAAAAGTGCAGAGGACTGGAAAACCACCGTGGCATCAATAGAGAATTATATTGCAACAACCGAGAGACTACAGCAGAACGTAGGTTCGTTGCAAAGAGCAGACTCCGATCTTGTGAACGGTACCACGGATGAGAAAGCCAAGGGGAACAGGACAATCAATGCTTTAGAACACTACCGTCCCGTAGAAACCAATGTGCCTTGTTTACAAGAAGACCTGACGTATTGTCCTAAAAACAGTGTAGCCCAACTCAGCAGAGGACAATCCCTTTATGATACCCAAATCAGTGACCACGAGAGGAGTATAGACGCCTTAAAACAAACGATTCGAGGCTTAGAGGCAGAACTGTCCTCTCTTAAGACCACCAACGTTGACTTTCTCTCCAGAATGAACCAAGTCATTCAGGAAAAGCAAAACCTCGAAGAAGGACTCCTTGCCCTGCAGGAGAGCATGCAGTCAGAGTTTGCCATGAGGCAAGAAACTGAACTTCGGTGTAAGGATTACAAACACCAAATCGGAGTCTTATCCGATGAACTGCAGTCGGAGCAGGACAAACTCAAAAAGCTAAAAGCGCGACTGGAGGCTCAGCAAAGTGAAATGGCCGTGCTGAGGGACAGCTTTCCTCCAGAGGTCCTCCAGGTGGAGAACAACAGAAGCGTTGAGATGTTCAGCTCGGACATCTTAGAAGAGCTCTACTGGAATGTTGGGACTTTGGTCAGACAATACAACGAGGCTTTGCAGCAGGTGGCCGCATTACAAAAGGAGAACCTTAAGCTTCTGGATGACCAAGTTCAGACCATATCTATGACGGAGCACAAAAACAGTCTCAATGAAATGAAGAACGACTTGCATGGCAAGGTCAAGGAGATAGAAGACGTAAAGCAAAGGCTGTTCCAAGCCATGGGTAGCGTGGTAGAGCTCAAAGATCAACTTGAACTCCAAACCTCTAACTCTGTCTCCAAAGCAGAAGTGGAAAGCCGAATGGGGGACCTGGAAAGTGTAGTCATGGCTCTGAAGGAAGAGAACGAAGCCTGCAAGGTGGCACTGGAGGGCAAATGCGAGGAAGTCATAGTCCTAAAGCAACAGCTGGAACAGGAGGCTGAAGAAAGCCAAGCTTTACGGCAAAAGGAAGTAAACATGCTGCAGGCGTTTGAAAGAGCCAGGGAAAATCTGGAGGTCCAACTTCGAGCATTGCGAGAGGAAGTCCAGGTCCTAACCAAGGAACAAAACAAAACTACAGAGCAGGCCAACCGTGTAAGGACCAGCTGGCATCCGAGCAGGAAAAGGTGGTGGTCCTGGATGGCAAAGTTAGGGAACTGGAGAGAGAGAAGCTGAAATTCTGAAGATGAAGGTCCAGAAGTATGAAGAAGAGAGTCGCCAATTCAATCAAAAGTACGACCTACTGTCTAGAGTGTCCCAAGAAAAACAGGAGAAGGTAAGTGAAGGAGGCAGCTGGGTTAGTTACATTCATCCTCATTGTTTCCTTAAAGTGTATGTCAAGATGGAAAGACGTTTTTTACTTTTAGATTTGGGAACAATTAAACTTTTTAAACTTGAGGAACGTTCTTAAAAAGTTTAGAAACCCTCGTTGAGTTTGCTCTGCCAATAGGAACACAGGCAGAACTTTCATGGGGGGGGGGGGGGGGGCAGGGGAGAATCAGGGAAGGCCATTTCTATCATTTGCTTTGAAATTCTAAACAAGGCATTTATTTCTCTTAGATGGAGGCATCTGTGAAGGAGTCCAAGTCCTTGTCTAAGGAGATCGAGCAACTGCAGAGACGTTGTATCGAATTGGTGGGTCAGCTGGAGGTAAGTCAATGGATATTCCAGACCAACCAGGGGGTCTCCAAACTTTCGATACAAGGGCCAGTCTACTGCCCCTAAAACTTCAGGGGGGCCCAGAGTGTGGTCAGTAGGAGCAGAAAATAGTGTCAGTTGAAGAATAGTGCCCAAGCCGTGGTATCAGTGGGGAAGGGGGGAGGGAAGAGTTCCTCATTGGTGTCAGTGGAAGGAATAGTGTCCCATCATTGGTGTCATCTGTGAAGGAGTCCAAGTCCTTGTCTAAGGAGATCGAGCAACTGCAGAGACGTATTGAATTGGTGGGTCAGCTGGAGGTAAGTCAATGGATTTTCCAGACCAACCAGGGGGTCTCCAAACTTTCGATACAAAGGGCCTGTTTACTGCCCCTAAAACTTCAGGGGGGCCCAGAGTGTGGTCAATAGGAGCAGAAAATAGTGCCCAAGCCGTGGTATCAGTGGGGAAGGGGGGGGAGGGAAGAGTTCCTCATTGGGGTCAGTGGAAGGAATAGTGTCCCATCGTTGGTGTCAGTGGAAGGAATAGTCCCTCATTGTTGGTGTCATTGGGAAGAATAGTGTTTCATCGTTGGTATCATTAGGAGGAATAATTCCTCATTGTTGGTGTCATTGGAAGGAATAGTGACCCATTGATGGTGTAAGTGGGAGGAATGGTGACCAATAATTGGAGTCAGTTTGGAGGAGTAGTGCCCCAAGGACAAATTAAAAGGCAAGCAAAGGGCTTCACCTGGTCCACAAGCCACAGTTTGGAGACCACTGTTCTAGACCAGTGGTCTACAAACTTTGGACCTGGGGCCAGATGCGGCCGTTTGCTTGCTTTTTGGGGCACCATTTCATCCACCGATACCAGCATTGGGGCATAATTGCTGCCCACTGAATACTGAAGGGGAACAATTCCTCCCAATGACATCAACAATGGGGCACCATTCCTCCCAATCAGGGGCGGACTTACAACAACTGAGCATAAGGATGGGGCCCCCCTGGGCAATAAGGGCCATCATGGGGCCCGTGTCCTCGCCCCACACTCAAACCACACCCAAAAAAAGCCTATGAAAGGAACCAGGGGCATCTCATGGGGCCCCCTACTAACCCCGGGCCCTCGGGCAGTGCCCAAGTTCCCAAATGGTCAGTCCGCCCTGCTCCCAATAACACCAGCGCTGAGGCACAATTCCTCCCAAGGACACCAACAATTGGGCCAAATGACACCAACGATGGGGCAAACATTCCTCCTACTGACACCAAAAAAATGCGGCATGTTTTTCCCCACTGATGTCGGGACCTCCTTTTCTACCCCTAATGGCCACAGTTCGGCCCCCCCTAACATCTGAAGGACAGTAAACTGGCCCTTGGTCTAGAACATGGGTCTCCAAACTTTCTAAGCAAAGGGTCCCCAACCTTGCACCTCAAACTACCCCCCCCCCCCCAGCCCAACAGGTCATATTTTCAGGACTTCCTTCACATTGCATAGGTGCATTAAATCATTGCCATATACTGAATACAATAATCACAGGAATAACTCTGTACAGTTACCAGGACAGAAGATTTTTCATAACAGGCAGTCTTCTTGAATTCATATTTACATAGAGAGAGAATCACGAAGACCAGTTCCCTTGAGGCTTGACCAGACAGCCACCATTGCCATTGACACTCCTCCCAGCAGGGGGAGCTCTTGTGTTACCATTTATTGACCCCTTACTAGTAACCACATCACATTATTGTCAAACCCTTCCCACTGGTTGTCCGCCTACGGAGGCGAGTCTTATGCCGTCCTGCCGCTTGTAGGCATTACGGTTTTGTGTTGAAGGCATGCCACCAGCACTGTCACCCCACAGGGCGAAATAAGGGCCCATAGAAACAAAAAAAAAAAAGAAGGGGGCCCAACAAAAAGGAAGGGAGCCCAGGCATTAATCCTTCCCACTGGTTCTCTGCCTACGGAGGCGGGTCTTATTCCATCCTGCCGCTTGTATGTATCACTGTTTCGTGTTGTATCACTGTTTTGTGTTGAAGGCATGCCACCAGCACTGTCACCCCACAGGGCGAAATAAGGGCCCAACAAAAAAGAAGGGGCCCAACAAAAAAGAAGGGAGCCCAGGCATTAATCCTTCCCACTGGTTCTCTGCCTATGGAGGCGGGTCTTATTCCGTCCTGCCGCTTGTATGCATTACTGTTTTGTGTTGAAGGCATGCCACCAGCACTGTCACCCCACGGAGCAAAATAAGGGCCCAACAAAAAAGAAGGGGACCCAACAAAAAAGAAGGGAGCCCAGGCATTAAAAGATTTGTTTTACTACCCCCTCATTAAGGGTTTAATACATAGCCTCAGTTTCTTGTTAATAAACAATTTCCACAAAGAAATCACATCACATGCACTGCAGCATATGGAGGTCAACAGAACTAGAGCTCAACTCCGCCCCCGAGGGGCAACCCCAATGATAAAACAGGAAGGCAGATCAGTCTTGATTATAGAAGGGCTTAAGATCAGTAGAGATGTATAGTTGACACCTTTCAGATACACAGTGCCCTTCGTCAGGCAGTTAAACAAACATAAAATATATATATATATATATATACATATTAAAAATAAAAAAAAATATAAAATAAAAAAATATATATATATATATATATATATATTTTTTTTTTTAATATGTATATATATATATATATTTTATGTTTCTTTAACTGCCTGACGAATAAAATAATATATATATATAAAAAATATATATATATATATATATATATATATATATATATATATATATATATATATATATATATACACACATATACACACACATACACATATATATATATATATATACATATATATATACATATACACATATACACACACATTTTTTTTTACTATATTATAGAATTTTTTTTCTTTTTACTAATATATATATATATATATATATATATTAGTAAAAAGAAAAAAGAATTCTAATATAGTAAAAAAAAAGTAATTATTTTTTTTTTTTATATATATATATATATATATATATATATATATATATATAAAAACAAAAAAAATAATTATATATTTTTTTTACTATATTAGAATTCTTTTTTTTTTTTTACTAAATATATATATATATATATATATATATTAGTAAAAAGAAAAAAAATTATATCATATAAAAAAAAAAAATTATTATTTATTTAATTTTTTTTTGTAAAATATATATATATATATATATATATATATATAAAAAATGTATTATATATTGGATGCAGAGAGGCGCCATCTGCACTCAATCCAAAGAGGAATCAAACATCTGGTAATCCACAAAAAGATATAAAAAGGCACTCAAAGTGCTGCTGTAGGGAAACAAAGAATGAAGCCGATGCTTCATTGGACCAATGGTTCAGCCAACTGTTACTCACCGAAACATCACCATATAGAGTATCTTTCCACCTACACAGCTCAGAGATTTAAAAGGAGATTGTACAACCAGATTGTTCCGTGCGTAGTCATGCTCTATATATACATATATTTTTTTTTATTTTTTTTTTAGCACACACACCTGATAAGAATGTTGTTTTTGTTTTTCTTTCATTTGTGAGAGATGCTACAAATCACCAACATTCCAAGTTCCATTGTGGCATGTCAGTGAGGAGCACCTGAACTGTGGATACTCAGCAGGGACAACATTACAAAAACAAACAAAAAACAACAAAAAAACCCCAAAAAACAACAAAACAAAAGCAACAAACAACAACAAAACAAATATTGCATCATCTATGGCTTGCCTAAATACCCGGGATTAACACTCATCACCTACTTATCCCGTATTGGTTGCCGATAGGTCACCCCGGGACCCAACACCCTCTTTTTCTGAGGCGCAGAGGGATGGGGAATGTGTTGCAGTTTTAGTACAAACAAATGACATTTCTCACAATGGCTCCATTATGCCGCCCACCCGCCTCCCCATAATGTGAACAGCAAGTTTTTTGCTTGTTTTTTTTGCAGGAGAATAATAAACGTCATCAAGAGACGGTCACCATCTACAGGACTCACCTGCTCAACGCAGCTCAGGTAACACGGGGAAAGAAAGCAGCCTCCCATCCATCCATCCATCCATCCAATCAGCTGGGGGGGGGGACTTGTACTTAGAAACCTAATAAAAAAAAAATATATATATATTAAAGCTGAACTCCGGTCACAAAAAAACTCATTTAAAAACATATTTCTCTATAGCCACAAAAGGATATAAACCCCCCTCTGTGTGCACCAAATGCCTTCACAAAGCCAGGTATTACCTTGTAGAAGTAGCCGTATTATCACAGTGCTGAACAGAGTCCTGCAAGCTCCTCCCACTGTAGGAAGCAGGGGACAAGACCAGTCACCCTGCACAAGGGGGGGAGAGGGGGAGAGAGGGGGAGGGAGGAGAGATGGGGGAGGGAGAGAGGGGGGAGAGAGGGAGAGCGGGGGAGAGGGGGGGAGAGGAGGGGGGGAGAGGGGGGAGAGAGAGGGAGAGAGGGGGAGGGGGGAGAGAGAGGGGGGAGGGGGGGAGAGAGAGGGGGAGAGATGGGGGGGGGGGGAGAGAGGGGGGAGGGAGAGAGGGGGGGGAGGGGGAGAGAGGGGGGAGGGGAGAGAGGGGGGAGGGGGGGGAGGGGGGGAGGGGGGGGAGGGGGGGAGAGAGAGGGGGGAGAGAGAGGGGGGGAGAGAGGGGGAGGGGAGAGAGGGAAGGAGAGGGGGGAAGGGGAGAGAGGGGGGAGAGAGAGGAGGGGGGAGGAGAGGGGGGAGAGAGAGGAGGGGGAGAGAGGGGGGGAGAGAGAGGAGGGGGGAGAGGGAGAGGGGGAGAGGGAGAGAGAGGGGGGGTGGGGAGGAGAGAGAGGGGGGAGAGAGGGGGGGAGAGAGAGGAGGGGAGAGAGAGAGGGGGAGAGGGGGAGAGATGGGGGAGAGAGAGGGGGGGGTGGGGAGGAGAGAGAGGGGGGGAGAGAGGGGGGGGGAGAGAGAGGGGGGGAGGAGAAAGAGGGGGGGGAGAGAGAGAGAGAGGGAGGGAGAGAGGGAGGGTGGGGGGAGAGAGGGGGGAGGGAGAGAGGGGGGAGAGAGGGAGAGAGGGGGGAGAGAGGGAGAGCGGGGGAGAGAGGGGAGAGCGGGGGAGAGAGGAGGGAGAGCGGGGGGGAGAGAGGGAGAGGGGGGAGGGAGAGAGGGGGAGGGGGGGGGGAGAGGGAGAGAGGGAGAGAGGGAGAGGGGGGGGGAGGGAGAGATGGGGGGGGAGAGAGGGGGAGGGAGAGGGGGGAGGGAGAGAGGGGGGGAGAGAGAGAGGGGGAGGGGGGAGAGAGAGGGGGGAGAGAGGGGGGGGGGGAGAGAGAGGGGGGAGAGAGAGGGGGGGAGTGAGGGGGAGGGGAGAGGAGGGGGGAGAGAGGGGGAGGGGAGAGAGAGGGGGAGGGGAGAGAGAGGAGGGGGGAGAGAGGGGGAGAGATGGGGGAGAGAGAGGGGGGTGGGGAGGAGAGAGAGGGGGAGAGAGAGGGGGAAGAGAGAGGGGGGAGAGAGGGAGAGAGAGAGAGAGGGGGGGGAGAGAGGGGAAAGAAAAGGAAAGAAGAAAACGAAGGAAAAGGAAAGAAAGAAGGAAAGAAGGAAAGAAGGAAAGATCTGTGGGAGGGGCCCAGCAGGCTTCCCCTGCTACAAGCTGCCTGTAGACAACTACAGGAGGGGGCGGAGACAAGACCAGTCACCCTTCACAAGGAGAGTGAGGAGCAGGGACCGGTCTGTATTACAGGAAGCTCCTGCACAGAGGGAAAGGTGTTGAGGTTGCTTTTGCTGAAAATGCAGTTTGCCTGGCTGTCATGCTAGTCTAAAGGGAGCCGCCGGCCTGCCATAAGCAGGATTATTCTTCCAGGTTGAGGAAATCAATGGCGGATTCAGCCAGGCAATTAGCATTTTCATAGGTCAGGGAGGTCAGAAAACTCAGCCAACATTTCTCCCTTAGGGCAGGTTTTCTTCAGTTACGCGGTTCTGTTGCTTCCTGAAATGTTTTGGTATCATTGTGTCATTTATTTGTAGAAGTGCCTGAACCTCTGTTGGGTCTTTATTGCTCTCTGCATCATTATTGGGGAGGATTCCCCCTCGAAATTCTTCCAGTAGGTTCACAAAGAAAGTCATTTTTTGTACAGCCAGGAAGAGTCCGGAACTCCTGACAATGTTTTTATTGCCATTATATCTTCCTGTCCCTGTGACAACTACTCCCTCATTTCTTGTATGGGTGTCACAGGGACAGGAAGTGAGAAAAAAAAAATCTCCCCAGTGGGGTCACAGCTGTATGGGATCTTAAGAGGAAACCTCTAACGGGTTCACAGACAAAAACTCATTTTTAGTCGTCGGAACTCATGACAATGTTCGTCTTGCCATCTGGGACTTCCTATCCTGGTGACAATCACTCCCCCATTTGTTTGTGTGGGTGTCACAGAGACAGGAAGTGAGGGGAAAAAAAAAAAAGTCTTCAATGGGGTCCCCTATGGAAATGATAACCTATAAGAATTTTTTCTTCCTCCTATTCAAAATTGGGGTTGGGTCTTGAGGCGGGATGGAGGTAATGTCTGGTCGGTGTACCGAGGAGCTTGCAATCTAACATGTGCCTACGTGTCTTCCTGCAGGGCTACATGGATGAAGACGTCCACCTGACGTTACACTGGATCCTGAAGATGCAGAACGACGTTGTTTACTAAAACCGGGAGACACCCCCCCCCCCAGGAACTGCACTACAAAAAGGGCACAAAAAAAAAAAAATCCAAAAAAAACACCTTCTTGCCTTCTCGCCCCATGCGGTCAGCGACTGCCATGACCGCATTCCACCAAGCTGCTCCTCCCAGTGGAAAAGGACTGGAGAATTCACACGCGCCATTTTTTGGGGAACGCGCTAAAATCAGGGAATAGCCGGCGGGATTCACAGTTTAAAGAGGTCCTCCGACTTTTTTTTTTTTTTGCCGGTCAGGTTATGCCGGCGATTCATTTTTGCCGTGAAATTCCAAGTGTCAGATGGTGTCTGAATTTAGAAGGATTGGGGACATGTTCCCCTCCCCCCACTCGTCTCCGCATGGGAAATTCTGCAGCAAGAAACCTTAAACCGTAAAAGTCCTCACTGGGTCCCTGTGCTTCTCTATACAATGCAGGCAGATCGTGGCTGCTGGGAGGGACTGCACATTGGTTCCAGAAAACAGCAGACGGCTCTAGATAATGGCTAAAAAAAAAAAGAAAAAAGGAATCCAGTGAATAGAAGGGGAGAGAGCTGAGGACAGTCAGGCTGGGGAAGAGAGGACTCTGGATTGGAAGGCTAAGGGGTGTGGCTGTTACTCTGCTATGCCAGCATTGAAGAAGGAGGAGGAGTGCTAGGGGGTGTGGCTGTTACTGTGCCACCATAGAGGACTGGAGGGGAGGAGTTATAGGGGGTGTGGCTTTTACTCAGCTCTGACAGGAGAGAGCACTGTAGAGGGAAGAACAGAGAGTGGGAAAAGGGGAGGGGCTGCAGGAAATGGCAAGGACACCTCCATACACTAGAAGAAGTTTGCTCCAAGTTGGTCATTTCAAAAGCATTCCTTCAATTTTTTTAATCGATGGGATCAATTTGATGTTGATTTAGGGGGTGTGGCTGTTAGTCAACAATAAAAGCACAGTGACCTGGAGGGGGAGGAGTGCTAAAGGGTTACTCAACTTTGCCAAAGGGAGTGCCATAGGGGTGTGGCTGTTACTCAGCTCTGCCAGGAGTGCCAAAGGGGTGTGCCTGTTACTCAGCTCTGCCAGGAAGAGTTCCAAAGGGGTGTGCCTGTTACTCAGCTCTGCCAGGAGTGCTAAAGAGGTGTGGCTGTTACTCAGCTCTGCCAGGAAGAGTTCCAAAGGGGTGTGACTGTTACTCAGGTCTACAAGGAGTTCCAAAGGGGTGTGGCTGTTACTAAGCTCTGCCAGGAGTGCTAAAGGGGCGTGGCTGTTACTCAGCTCTGCCAGAAGGAGTGCCAAAGGGGCGTGGCTGTTACTCAGATCTGCCAGGAGGAGTGCCAAAGGGATGTGGCTGTTACTCAGCTCTGCCAGGAGGAGTGCCAAAGGGGTGTGGCTATTACTAAGCTCTGCCAGGAGGAGTGCCAAAGGGGTGTGGCTGTTACTCAGCTCTGCCAGGAGGAGTGCCAAGGGGTGTGGCTGTTACTCAGCTCTGCCAGGAGGAGTGCCAAAGGGGTGTGGCTGTTACTCAGCTCTGCTAGGAGGAGTGCCAAAGGGGTGTGGCTGTTACTCAGCTCTGCTAGGAGGAGTGCCAAAGGGGTGTGGCTGTTACTCAGCTCTGCCAGGAGGAGTGCCAAAGGGGTGTGGCTGTTACTCAGCTCTGCCAGGAGGAGTGCTAATGAGGGGTGTGGCTGTTACTCAATGCACTCTAGCTATACCAAAATCCTCTACAGACAGCACGGGGGAACGGAGGCCCCTCCCAGGACATCATGGGAGAACGGAGGCCCCTCCCAAGTCATCACGGGAGAACGGAGGCCCCTCCCAGGACATCACGGGAGAACGGAGGCCCCTCCCAGGACATCACGGGAGAACGGAGGCCCCTCCCAGGACAAAAAAAACAATCAAAAGCTTCCATCTCATTCGAGAAATCCATAAATAAACCAAAAAATGAGAAGTCGCAGGTCGTCGTGTACAAGACCGTCAAGAGGTGGACAGTCCCTTTAAGCCCCGCCCAGTTAATGTGCCTTACGTACGGTCTGTCCATAATCTGTAAATACAGACACTACAGATCGATTTTAATTATTCGATTTTCTTATCATGTGTATAATTGATACGAGGATAACTTATCGATGTTTGTATCTTATTCCATAAAAAAAAAAAAAAAAGTACATAAATAAAAAACAAAACTTTACGTGTAATTTAAAAAACAAAAACATTCCGACTCTGCTCTGATTTTTTTTTTTTTCTGCAGATAACCCGGTCTTGGTCCGCCCATGTATGTGGGGTGGTTGGATCATTTGATTGTGGGGGGGGGGGGGGGGGGGGGAACACGTTCTTTTAATTAAAATCAGCTGTAAATCACATGTAGAGTCGCTGCGTGGGTTACAATCGGATTGTACAATCTGCCGTATTCTACCCGATATTACATCGGTTTTGTAATGGCGAGAAGGGCCCCCAGAGCCACCCTGAGATCAGCTGACGAGAGCCGGCCTGGGTGAAAATCGCAGAGCAGGGCGTGCGGCTGTCAGCTCAGTGCAAAGAATCGAGATCAAAAAAAAAAAAAAAAAAAAGGAGGAAAGAGGGAGGAGGGAAGAGGAAAGAGGGAGGAGGAAAGAGGGAGGAGGAAAGAGGGAGGAGGAAAGAGGGAGGAGGAAAGAGGGAGGAGGAAAGAGGGAAGAGGGAGGAGGAAAGAGGAAGGAGGAAAGAGGGAGGAGGAAAGAGGGAGGAGGGAAGAGGGAGGAGGGAAGAGGGAGGAGGGAAGAGGGAGGAGGGAAGAGGGAGGAGGGGGAAGAGGGAGGAGGAAAGAGGGAGGAGGAAAGAGGGAGGAGGGAAGAGGGAGGAGGAAAGAGGGAAGAGGGAGGAGGAAAGAGGGAGGAGGAAAGAGGAAAGAGGGAAGAGGAAAGAGGAAAGAGGGAAGAGGAAAGAGGGAAGAGGAAAGAGGGAAGAGGAAAGAGGGAAGAGGGAGGAGGGAAGAGGGAGGAGGGAAGAGGGAAGAGGGAGGAGGGAAGAGGGAGGAGGGAAGAGGGAAGAGGGGAGGAGGGGAAGAGGGAAGAGGGAGGAGGGAAGAGGGAGGAGGGAAGAGGAAAGAGGGAGGAGGGAGGAGGGAGGAGGGAGGAGGGAGGAGGGAGGAGGAAAGAGGGAGGAGGGAGGAGGGAGGAGGGAAGAGGGAAGAGGGAGGAGGGAGGAGGAAAGAGGGAGGAGGAAAGAGGGGAGGGAGGGAAGAGGGAGGAGGAAAGAGGGAAGAGGGAAGAGGGAAGAGGGAGAGGGAAGAGGGAAGAGGGAAGAGGGAGGAGGGAAGAGGGAGGAGGAGGAGGGAGGAGGGAAGAGGGAGGAGGAAGGAGGGAGGAGGGAGGAGGAAAGAGGGAGGAGGAAAGAGGGAGGAGGAAAGAGGGAGGAGGAAAGAGGGAGGAGGAAAGAGGGAGGAGGAAAGAGGGAGGAGGAAAGAGGGAGGAGGGAAGAGGAAGGAGGGAAGAGGAAGGAGGGAAGAGGAGAGGGGAAGAGGGAAGAGGGAGGAGGGAGGAGGGAAGAGGGAGGAGGGGAGGAGGAGGAGAGGGAGGGGAGGAGGGAAGAGGGAGGAGGAAGGAGGGAAGAGGGAGGAGGTGGGAGGAGGGAAGAGGAAAGAGGGAGGGGAAAGAGGGAGGAGGAAAGAGGGAGGAGGAAAGAGGGAGGAGGGAGGAGGGAGGAGGGAGGAGGGGAGAGGGAGGAGGGGAGAGGGAGGGGGGAGAGGGAGGAGGGGAGAGGGGGAGGAAAGAGGGAGGAGGAAAGAGGGAGGAGGGAAGAGGATAAAGGAGTATAAATTTGAATACAATAGATTAGAAAAAAAATAGGATAGGATAAAATAGAAAGAATAGAACCGTCTTCCGAATGCCAATTCGAAAACGGATTCGAATTTTCCAAATTCGGTCAAATCAAAATTTGAAACATGAATAAAAACTAAACAGATTCCAAAAACGGAACTAAAAATTATTTAAATAGTAAATCGAAATACATTTTTTTTCTTCTGCACACGTCTGTAAACAACTTTCATCAATGCGTCACAACACGCCGCGGCGCAACAAACTTGAAAAAAAAAAAAAAATGAAGGAAATGAAAAATTGAGAGTCGCAGGGAGTTTCAGCAGCCAATGAGAGCGCGCGTTCACTCTGCCTGCCGACGCATCGTATGCCTGGGAACAAGCGCTGTGTGAATGAGCCCCCCCAGCGCCCCCAATACACACAGCCACTGTGTGAAACGTTAGCGTCGAGGTTTGCGCCCGTTTTCTGACTCATCGATTGATAAGGACGGCAATGCGTGGAAATGCAAAAACAAACGCGGAAAGGCGGAGCTCCAGCCTTAAAGGGACGCAAAACGATATCCTCGCCCTCCAACACTCCACACACACCCACCACTGAACGGCCCCCGCAATCTATTTCTCATGAAAACGTTTCTTACTGCGTTTTGGGGCCTCTTCGTAACGCCCTCCGCGCGAGCTCCCAGACCTCTCCCCTTCCCCCCCGCGCGAGCTCCCAGACCTCTCCCCTTCCCCCACCGCGCGAGCTCCCAGACCTCTCCCCTTCCCCCACCGCATGAGCTCCCAGACCTCTCCCCTTCCCTCACCGCACGAGCCAACGACCTCTCCTCTTCACCCTCACCTCCCCCTCCACAAACTCCCAGACCTCTCCTCTTCACCCTCACCTCCCTTTGTTTGGAACGAGCAGCAGGCGTTAGTGGCGGTCTTGCACACTTCTCTGGGCACGCTACCCATCCCATCGTCCACCTCAGGAGCGAGGAAGAGAGGGTGACTACGTTCCTCCATACAGAGGGGTCAGGGAGAATGTAGTCACTGGAAGTCAGTGGGGAGCTCTGGGCGTGGCAGATATTCAATATGGTGACACCTTCACTGAATTCTGTGCGCCGGGTTGTCTGGTGTCATTAATGAAACACATCTGATGACCTTCAATATCAGGAGAGGATACAACGTACCGTTAGAGTGTAAGCTCCACAGTCCAGAATCCAGACGCTCGCTGTTCACCAGCATTCTCCATAGGATGAGCTGCTCTGCCGTGTCTGCCCCTCCCCCCTGCACACAGGTGACCCCATCAGGGCGATCAGCACTAATTAGCCCAACTGTGGTCCCACCAGGACGGCTGGGCGGGTCATCTCTTCTTAAAGGGGAACCGCAACTTCCAATTCCATAATCATCGCCCAGAACAGCCCCAGGAAGTGACTCCGCCTACACTGAGATGATGTCATCAGTCTACTGCAGGCAGGAGGAGGCGTTTCCTCAGTCTCCCCTCCCCCAGTGATCAGACTGTACATTGTAACTTTGTAGAAGGAGGAGGGAGCATTTCCTCAGTCTCCCCTCCCCCAGTGATCAGACTGTACATTGTAACTTTGTAGAAGGAGGAGGCGTTTCCTCAGTCTCCCCTCCCCCAGTGATCAGACTGTACATTGTAACTTTGTAGAAGGAGGAGGAGGCATTTCCTCAGTCTCCCCTCCCCCAGTGATCAGACTGTATATTGTAACTTTGTAGAAGGAGGAGGAGGCATTTCCTCAGTCTCCCCTCCCCCAGTGATCAGACTGTACTTTGTAGGAGGAGGAGGCATTTCCTCAGTCCCCCCCCCCAGTGTAACTTTGCAGCAAGTCACAAGGTGAGAAGCAGCAGCAAGGGGCTGATCTGTGTCAGACATTTGTGAACACAGCCCAGAACTGTACAGGCACCAGGCCTGAATATTGTGAAGTCTGAGGTCCCTTGCTGCAGGTTGGACAGGGAATTGTCAGGGTCACTTTGATTTGTCTGAAACATCAGAATTTCCAAATAAAAGAAACTAAAAACTGAGAATAAATAGCCTGCACTTCCACACACAGCCAGAAGAGGCGCCAGAGAGCAGCTAGGCATACACCTTTGCATTTCCACTCATTACCACCGGGGGCGCAAAAAGAAGCAGCGGGGAAGTATAAGCCTGCACTGCCACAAACAGCCAGCGGGGGGGCGCTAAAAGAAAGCAGCGGGGAAGTATAAGCCTGCACTGCCACACACAGCCAGCAGGGGGCGCTAAAAGAAACAGCGGTGAAGTATAAGCCTGCACTGCCATACACAGCCAGCGGGGGCGCTAAAAGAAAGCAGCGGGGAAGTATAAGCCTGCACTGCCACACACAGCCAGCGGGGGCGCTAAAAGAAACAGCGGTGAAGTATAAGCCTGCACTGCCACACACAGCCAGCGGGGGCGCTAAAAGAAGCAGAGGGGAAGTATAAGCCTGCATTGCCACACACAGCCAGCGGGGGCGCTAAAAGAAGCAGCGGGGAAGTATAAGCCTGCATTGCCACACACAGCCAGCGGGGGCGCTAAAAGAAGCAGAGGGGAAGTATAAGCCTGCACTTCCACACACAGCCAGCGGGGGCGCTAAAAAAAAGCAGCGGGGAAGTATAAGCCTGCACTGCCACACACAGCCAGCGGGGGCGCTAAAAAAAAGCAGCGGGGAAGTATAAGCCTGCACTGCCACACACAGCCAGCGGGGGCGCTAGACAGATGGAAGGAAAGCCGGATTCAGACAGCCAGCTATCGCCTGGCCGCCGGGGGCGCCAGAGAACGAGGCGCGCTCTTGTCCCCGCCGTTGCACAGGCCGCCTGCGCTGTCCGTGGCGGTCAGTAGAGGGCGCTCTCCTCTCGCTCCTATTTCCTGGTCTGTCCCCCGGGCCGTGCGGAGTCAGAGGAGGCTTTGTGGATTGGAATCGGTTCTCCGCCCCCCCCATCCCCCTCCCCGGTCAGCGGAGAAGTCGGGGCTCCCCCAGGATCACACCGAGAGCTGCGGGGGGAGGGCCCATCCCTCCCCCATCCACACAGCCCGAGCCGGGTGAGTACAATGAGGAGCCCCCCCCCCCCCCCCGATCTCCCACCACAGGCCGGAGAAAATTACCGCCCCCCCTCCCTCCCTCCACCGGAGACCCCTCCCCCCAATACTGCAACAATGTAACAACATGAAGTATCGCTCCCTCCATTCTCCGCCATAGATTTCTTTCGTTTTCTCCGTCCTGGGTTGAGATCTGAGAAGTGATTGTTACCAATAATATCCATCTACTGATAGAACGGAGCCGGGGGGGGGGGCTGCACATGCTCAGGTGGTGTGTATTGCTAGAGGGTTTTGTTTTTTTTCCCTTCAAGAGGGGTGCATGTGATCAGCACAGGGCCAATCAGCAATGTCCAGACAGAGGTGTCAGGGGTCATACAGCCTCACAGGACAGTCCGAGGATTATGAAAACTCCTCCGGGGAGAGCGGATATAGTGAATGCGGGGTCCGGGGAGAGCGGATATAGTGAATGCGGGGTCCGGGGAGAGAGGATATAGTGAATGCGGGGTCCGGGGGACAGCGGATATAGTGAATGCGGGGTCCGGGGGAGAGCGGATATAGTGAATGCGGGGTCCGGGGGGAGCGGATATAGTGAATGCGGGGTCCGGGGGGGAGCGGATATAGTGAATGCGGGGTCCGGGGGGAGCGGATATAGTGAATGCGGGGTCCGGATATAGTGAATGCGGAGCGGGGGGATGCGGATATAGTGAATGCGGGGTGTCGGGGGGAGCGGATATAGTGAATGCGGGGTCCGGGGGGAGAGCGGATATAGTGAATGCGGGGTCGGGGAGAGGGGGGATATAGTGAATGCGGGGAGGATTGGGCGTTCCTAGGCAGGCTGTATTTATAATTGAATGGAAGGGGCGGGGCTAGGGACAGGCTGGGGAGGAGCTAGATGATGCTGGTTGTCCCCCAGCCTGGAAAATGAGGCGGAGTTCTATCTGACTGGCTGCAGCTTCTAATGCACATTGTGAGAAACTCTCAGTGTGCGGTGACATCAGAGGAAGACATTCTAGTCCAGGGGAGGTGCTGGGACACCTGGAGGATGGAGCATGTTCATGCTCCCCCTGCTGGCCACTGCAGACTTTAGCTGTGCAATCTGCTGATCAGTTCTTTGATTGGTTCCAAACTTTCAGCAAAGGGGCAGTTTATTGTCTTTCAGACTTTAGAGCAGTGGGACTGTGACCAGCGGGAGTGGAAAATGTCCCGGCATCAGTAGGATTCAAATTGCCACGTTTGGTGTCAGTGGGAGGAATAGTGCCCCATCATTGGTGTCAGTGGGAGGAATAGTACCCCATCATTGGTGTCAGTGGGAGGAATAGTGCCCCATCATTGGTGTCAGTGGGAGGAATAGTGCCCCATCATTGGTGTCATTGGGAGGAATAGTGCCCCATCATTGGTGTCAGTGGGAGGAATAGTGCCCCATCATTGTGTCAGTGGAGGAATAGTGCCCCATCATTGGTATCAGTGGGAGGAATGTGCCCCATCATTGGTGTCAGTGGGGAGGAATAGTGCCCCATCAATGTCAGTGGGAGGAATGTGCCCCATCATTGGTGTCAGTGGGAGGAATAGCTGCCCCATCATTGGTGTCAGTGGGAGGAATAGTACCCCATCATTGGTGTCAGTGGGAGAATGCTGCCCCATCATTGGTGTCAGTGGGAGGAATAGTGCCCCATCATTGGTGTCAGTGGGAGGAATAGTGCCCCATCATTGGTGTCAGTGGGAGGAATAGTGCCCCATCATTGGTGTCAGTGGGAGGAATAGTGCCCAATCATTGGTCATTGGTGTCAGTGGGAGGAATAGTGTCCCGTCATTGGTGTCAGTGGGAGGAATAGTGCCCCAAGGGCCAGATAAAGGCAAGCAGAGGGCCACATTCGGCCCCAGGGCCGCAGTTTGGAGACCACCTGATTAAAGAGTGATCAGCAGATAGCACAGCTCAAGTCTGCAGTGGCCAATGGTGGGGAACATGCACATCTAAAGGGATGCCGGGGAATGCGTTCTTTCATGTGATTTTGAAAAAGATCCGAGACAGAATGGGGCGATGTTTACGGTCTTCGGCTGGCCCCTCCCACCACATGTAGAGCAGGGGGCGGGTGCAAGTTCAGCACGACCAAGTATATATATATATATCTCTCTGATACATTGTTACCCTCTAGTGACCTCTCCCTGATGACGTCGCCGTTGTCTCCCTTCTCTTGCAGCAGCCGGTTATGAGCCTCAGAGATTCGGCGCTGCAGTTTTTCCTGGATTTTGCCGGCGGTGACGGAAGTGGCTGCCAGCAGGAGCTTCTCGCCAAGGCTTTCCCCCTGGCAAAATCTGGCTCTGCCCCCAGCAGCCCGATGAAGATCAAAGAGCTGTACCGGAGGCGATACCCGCGGAAGATCCTGAACGGCTCGGAGCTGACCATGCTGCACATGCCGGGTGGGGCCTTACCCAGCACCACCTCCCTGCCGCAAGGGGCGGTGTGCCACCTGGGCTACGACAACAGCGCCATGGCGACCGCCGTGACCTCCTCCATGCTGCCGCCACTGCCCATGCTGGGCCCGAAACACGAGCCTGACATCCAGCACCTGTCCCCCCCCATCCACCCCGTCCACCCCGACGTCAAGATGAAGAGACTCCCCTTCTACGACGTCTACGACGAACTCATCAAACCCACCACCCTCGGTGAGTCCGGGGCGCCTAAAGGGTTCCCACCATCCCTGTGCTGAGTTCCCGGGTCTGTACACCCACTGTGCCCATTATGAGGGGTTCCCACCATCCCTGTGCTGAGTTCCCGGGTCTGTACCCCCGCTGTGCCCATTATGAGGGGTTCCCACCATCCTTGTGCTGAGTCCCCAGGTCTGTACCCCCGCTGTGCCCATTATGAGGGGTTCCCACCATCCCTGTGCCGAGTTCCCGGGGTCTGTACCCCCCCGCTGTGCCCATCCCTGTGCCCAGTTCCCGGGTCTGTACACCCACCATGCCTATTATGAGGGGTTTCCCACCATCCCTGTGCCGAGTTCCCGGGTCTGTACACCCGTTGTGCCCATTATGAGGGGTTCCCACCATCCCTGTGCTGAGTTCCCGGGTCTGTCCCACCGCTGTGCCCATTATGAGGGGTTCCCACCATCCCTGTGCTGAGTTCCCAGGTCTGTACCCCGCTGTGCCCATTATGAGGGGTTCCCACCATCCCCGAGTTCCCGGGGGTCTGTACCCCCCGCTGTGCCCATTATGAGGGGTTCCCACCATCCCTGTGCCCAGGGTCTGTACGCCCACCGTGCCATTATGAGGGGTTCCCACCATCCCTGTGCCGAGTTCCCGGGTCTGTACCCCCGTTGTGCCCATTATGAGGGGTTCCCACCATCGCTGTGCCGAGTTCCTGGGTCTGTACCCCGCTGTGCCCATTATGAGGGGTTCCCACCATCCCTGTGCTGAATTCTTGGGTCTGTGCCCCCGCTGTGCCCATTATGAGGGGTTCCCACCATCCCCGAGTTCCGGGTCTGTGCCCCCGCCGTGCCCATTATGAGTTCCCACCATCCCTGTGCCGGTTCCCGGGTGGTCAGACGCCCCCCCCCCCCCCCCCCCCCCCCCCCGTTGGATGTTTTGTTTGCCCCTCACATCCTCTCTTGCTGAGTCTAACCATCTCCATCTCCTTCCAGCTTCCACCAGCTCCCAGCGGTTTGAAGAGGCCCATTTCAGCTTCGCATTAACCCCCCAGCAGGTCCATCAGATCCTCACTTCCAGGTCGGTTCATGGAGGCCAATCTGTTCACTGATTTCATGTTTTAGGGGGAAGAAAAAAAAAAACAAAAAAAAGCAGATAAACCTCATCTAGACTAAAAATATACCTCAGGGTTTATATCTAAAAAACAAAAGAAAAAACAAAAAAAAAACCCCAAAAAAACCAGAAAAAAACAAACATTTTATGTGTTCCTGTCTTCAGCATTCACAAAAAAAAAAAAAAAAAGAAAAAACAAAAACAAAAAACAGAAAAAAACAAAAAAAAAAACAGAAAAAAAAAAAAAAAAACAAACATTTTATGTGTTCCTGTCTTCAGCATTCACAAAAAAAAAAAAAAAACAAAAAAAAAAAAGAAAAAACAAAGAAAACAGAAAAAAAAAAAAAAAAACCAGAAAAAAAAAAAAAAAAAAAAAACATTTTATGTATTCCTGTCTTCAGCATTCACACAAAAAAAAAAGAAAAAACAGAAAAAAAAAAAAAAAAAAAATGTTTGTGTTCCTGTCCTGAGCATTCACTGACACCAGGAAGGACGGCCATCTTCCTGTTATTCCTCTGATCTCTGCCATCTAGTGGTCACAATGTGGTATTTTGGTTTTGAGGCAATTCAGGAAAATTCCGCATTATGGCCACTAGGGGGCCGATCACATTACAGACAACACGGCAATCATTCGTTGTGGCTGTGAAGGCGGGAGACGCGGAATTTTTTTACCCCCCCCCCCCCCATAGTGAAGTCATGTTTTATATCTGCGAAAATTTGGAATTGAATTGTTTCCATTTTTTTTCTTTGCAGAGATATATTGCCGGGAGCGAAGTGTGATTACACCGTGCAGGTCCAGCTCAGGTAGGAACACCCACCTGTCTTCTGCCCCGCCCCCATTCACTTACCTATTGCGATCTGGGGCCCCCCCTGTCCAAGTTGCCACTTGCGTTAGGGAACCCCCCGCCATCCGAGTCAACAATTGTCAGGGAACCCACATCTGAGTCGCTGCTTGAATAGGGCCCCCCCTCCCGTCTGAGTTGCCACTTGCATCGGGGGCCCCCAGTCATCCAAGTACGCCGCTTGCGTCGGGGGGCTCCCTTCCCCCATCTGAGTCGCCACTTGCATCAGGGGGGCCCCCCCAAGTCAGCAATTGTTAGGGAACCCCCCCCCCCATCTGAATCACTGCTTGAATAGGGGCCCCCTTCCCATCTGAGTTGCCACTTGCATCGGGGCCCCCCTGTCATCCAAGTCACCACTTGCATCGGGCCAACCCTCCCCCCCGCCCCCATGCAGCAGCCGGAGTCGCTGCTTGCATCAGATTCCTCCTTCCCTGACATCCCCCCCCCATCTGAGTTGCTGCTTGAGTCGGGGCCCCTCCTCCTGTCCATGTCAACAGTTGTCAGAGGAACCCCCCCCCCCCCCATCTGAGTCGCTGCTTGCGTAGGGGGCCCCCCCCCCCCTCCCATCCAAGTTGCCACTTGGATCCCCCCCCCCCCCCCCCCCCTCCAATCCGAGTCACTGCTTACATCATGGCCCCCCTCTCATCTGATTCACCATTTGCATCCCCCCCCCCCCCCCCCCCCCGCCGCTGCCTGAGTTGCCACTTGCAGCAGATTTGCCCCTCCCTGACATCCCCTCCCTCCCATCCAAGTTGCCACTTGTGTCGGGGCCCCTCCTCCTGTCTGAGTCAACAGTTGTGTCAGGGACCCCCCCCCCCCATCCGATTCACCACTTGCATCGGGCCCCCCCTGCGTTTACTGCCCGAGTCGCCGATTGCGTCAGATTCCCCCCCCCATCCGAGTTGCCGCTTGGGCCCCTCCTCCCGTCCCAGTCGCCGCACGCATCAGGGCCCCACATCCGCCCCCCCCCCCCCCCCCATCCGAGTACCCCCCTCACACCTTTTGCATCAGGGCCCCCAGTCCCCGCTTGCGTCGGGGCCCCATCAGTGAAGATCAGCAGATCATGTTTCTCAGTCTTCGGGCCACATTTGGGAGACGCCTGACTTCGGAGCCATCGCACAGCCATCACACAGCCATCACGAATCGTCAGCACCACCTAGTGGCCATAACGCAGTATTTTCCTGATTTAAGTATTTCAAGAACATTCCCCATTATGGCCAGAAGAGCTTTTATACAGCATTGGCTGAATATAAATCCAGAACTGTGTATGGTGCCGATGTGTCCCAGTATTACAGAGCCAATTATTCCGATCTGCATACAGCTGTTTCTGGCCATCATCGGTGCAGTGCATGGAAACCATGGCCTCTATAGAGGACGGCTTGGGACCCTACTAGACCTTACAAGACCCTGCCAAGCCCTACCAGACCCTACCAAGCCCTACCAGGCCCTACCAGGCCCTACCAAGCCCTACCAGGCCCTGCCAGACCCTACCAAGCCCTACCAGGCCCTACCAAGCCCTACCAGGCCCTACCAAGACCCTACCAAGCCCTACCAGGCCCTACCAAGCCCTACCAGACCCTACCAAGCCCTACCAAGCCCTACCAAGCCCTGCCAGACCCTACCAAGCCCTACCAGGCCCTACCAAGCCCTACCAAGCCCTACCAGGCCCTACCAGGCCCTACCAAGCCCTACCAGGCCCTACCAAGCCCTACCAGGCCCTACCAAGCCCTACCAGGCCCTAGCAGACCCTACCAGGCCCTAGCAGACCCTACCAGGCCCTACCAAGCCCTACCAGGCCCTACCAAGCCCTACCAGGACCCTACCTAAGACCCTACCAGGCCCTACCACCAGGCCCTAGTAGACCCTACCAGGCCCTAGCAGACCCTACCAAGCCCTAGCAGACCCTACCAAGCCCTAGCAGACCCTATCGGGCCCTACCAAGCCCTAGCAGACCCTACCAGGCCCTACCAAGACCCTAGCAGACCCACCGGGCCCTACCAAGCCCTAGCAGACCCTACCGGGCCCTACCAGGCCCTAGCAGTACCGGGCCCTACCAAGCCCTAGCAGACCCTACCGGGCCCTACCAAGGCCCTACCTAAGCCCTAGCAGACCCTACCGGGCCCTACCAAGCCCTAGCAGACCCCTAGCGGGCCCTACCAAGCCCTAGCAGACCCTACCAAGCCCTAGCAGGCCTACCAGGCCCCAGGCCGTACCAGGCCCCTAGCAGGCCCTACCAAGCCCTAGCAGGCCCTACCAAGCCCTAGCAGCACCCTACCCTAGCAGGCCGTACCAGACCCTAGCCTACCAGACCCTAGCAGGCCGTACCAGACCCTAGCAGGGCCGTACCAGGCCCTAGCAGGCCGGACCCTAGTACCAGGCCCTACCAGAAGCCCGTACCAGACCCTAGCAGGCCGTACCAGACCCTAGCAGGCCGTACCAGACCCTAGCAGGCCGTACCAGACCCTAGCAGGCCGTATATCCAGGTTTTGGTGAGAAGGTTCTGGAGCGTATTTTTTTTTTTTTACTGCCCCTTTTTTACGATTAGCTCCTGACACCCCTCTCTTGTGTCCAGGTTCTGCTTGTGTGAGACCAGCTGCCCCCAGGAAGACTATTTCCCCCCCAACCTGTTTGTGAAGGTGAACGGCAAGCTTTGCCCACTACCGGTAAGTTGAGCGATCACTCCAGCCCCTCCCCCGACCTTCCTACCCTGGAAGATGTTCACCAGAACTCTCTCCTCCCATCCACACAGGGTTACCTTCCCCCCACCAAGAACGGCGCCGAGCCCAAACGGCCGAGCCGGCCCATCAACATTTCACCGCTGATCCGCCTGTCTTCCACCGTGCCCAACACCATCGTGGTCAACTGGTCTTCTGAGTTCGGCAGGGTAAGTCCTTGTGTCCTCTTAAAGGGTCACTCCACCCGGATATCTCGGGAATTGGTGGAGCTGGAGAATGATTCCCCTCCCTCCCCCAACGGAATTCTTC